AGATGTACTAACGCATGGATGCAATTAGTGTGCAGACAACTTACAAAAGGAAACTCATGTGGGCAATCATGGTAGGAAGCTCCTTACCTAAAAAGACAATCTTTATCACTTTAATCCTTAAAAACAGATCACATTAAAAAAAATAGCAGTTTTTCCAGTCTCATACCAAATGGTAGATAACTTGTCTGCAGGACTGAGTTCCTGGTTTTTGAAAAGTCCAAGAATAAAATTCTTTGCTCTTTGTGGCTGAGAAACAAGGAGATAAGGTGGCTGCTACCCCAGAACATGAAGGCCACTGAGATCAGTGGGAGGGTGTCTAGAGACATATGTTATTGAATCTTTTGTGGAACTTCAAAAATAAAATTGCCCAGACTTTGAGGTGAGAAATCAATCCTGAGAGAGTTATTTACCTCACTGTTGTTGGCTGTCCTAGGGATCCAGAACCACCAGCACTAACCATGTTCCTTTTGCTTGCTCCTAGCTGTTGTGACCACCACTACTTCCACTACAGTGGTTCATGCTCCCTATCCCAAACAACAAGGAGTGCCACCCAACTACCCAACAGCCCCATATCAAGGATATCAGCCTGTGGCTATCCAGCCACAACTTACCCCATGCAGCTATCAGGACTCCCTGCTTATCATGAAAGGGTGGCAGGTAAGGCAGCGCAAAATTGTATCTTCATCTCTTAAATAGCGAAAGACAGTTATGTTGGAGCCAATCCTGTATGATTTACGTTTATTATTTTCTGTGACTATATTAATGTAAAAGTAAACAAATTTACGTAAAACTCAAGTTATGGTGGATGTTATAATTCACTCTTGCTGAAATTTCCCCATCACCATTTCTGTGTTAAGTATTGCAAGGGGACATGTAGCTGGTGGTGAGTGGGAGTGTCGGTGGATCAAGTCCAATTAACATGTGGTAGCTGGGTGTTTCTACATACCTTCTCTAACCTGATATTTGCTGGATGTTTTAATCTATACAGAGATGGCATTTTCTGGTAGTTCGTCACTATGTTTGTAGAATAACAAGTTTGATCAACTTCAGACAAGTTTGCCGGTGACTAGCAGTTAGAATTATCATAATCTTATTTTCTTTGCTTTCCTTATTTATATTGTTTTCATGTAGCTTCACTGTTGCTATTACTAATTCTCACTTTTGCTGGGAAAAGCTGTTCTCTGAACAATTGGCTCCTGGCTGTTCAGAGGCCCATACTAGGCAGTTATCTGTCCTGGGGTCTTCAAGCCATCTTACAAACCACACTGTTCATCCTTCTGAGTCACAAGCAAAGTACAGTCCTGAGTAGTAGATAATGCCCTTAGAAAGTAACTCTTTCATGACAACTCAGATATAAAACAATGGTTCATGGTCTTAAGTGTTTGCAAATCTGGTAGAAATTGCACATTAACAATGTGCAAAGCAACATCCCAAGTTAAAATGCTGACTTGGCAGGCCTGTTGACTTTATCTTTCTCTTGTAAACTCTGAAGAAGCTGTGGGTTTTATGGGATTACCCAAAAATGCTTTAGCCTCAGCCTTATGAAGTCAGGGAGCCAATAAAGTAGTCCTTTTGCTTCTACTCTCTGGTTTCTCAAGGTTTTGTTGGTTTATTAGTTCTTAAAATACACCCCACCCCCTGGGTAATCTGGAAGCACTTTCCCTGTCACCAGCTGAGAATGCCCCAAAAGGAGAGCTCTTTCCTGTGTTTCTCTTGTCTATTAATCAAGGGGCAGTCCCTTAATTAGGTCACATGCAAGGGAGAGAATACCTGCTCTCCCCCAGGAGCCAAGCCCGCTCGCTTTACAAGATCAGCAGCAGATAATCCCACTTGTGCGCTCCAGAATCTGAGCAAGTGCTGTGTTACTCGAACTAACTGCTGCTCTTTGACAGACCGGGAAGTGAAGATGCCACTTGAGAGCAGCTTGTCTCAGAATACTAGAAAATAAGGATATCTTCCAAGTGATTTACATCTTGTATACATGTCAAACTCTTTGAGGTGCTTGGTAGTGGTGGGACACTTTTTGTCACTTTTATTTTAATTGGTAATTAACTCTGTGACACTTATCAGGAAAGCATTCTCCCTGAGGGTATCCTAAGATGCTTTCTCTAGTCCTTTTGCCAGCAGTTTATTTTCACTTCTCAACATACTATCAGGTATATTGTGTTGTCTCTGGATCTCTGACTTTCACAGGCTGGATTTTTTTTTTGTCCAGATCTGTTCCTTTTTTTCCCCCCCCTGACTATGTTCTCCCCTGAAGGCTGACCATGTGCTTGTGGCTACCATAATACTCTGCTACACTCAAGCATTACATAAACCCCACAAGAACAGAGGTGTTCTGTGATTTAACTTGGAAATGAGGATGTTTTAAGAGTTAGCACAGACTGTTCTCGAGTCTAGTTAAGATGCTGGATAAGCCAGACCTTTCAACTGTGTGCTCAAAACAGAAGCTGGCATCATAGACGTAGAATTCAGAATGTAAATTTTACAAATCTGTTCTTTCTTGTGTTCTGCTTTTGCAGCTGGTGCTGGAGCACCTTACCCAATCAGCCAGCCCCCTTACAACCCTGCTTATGTGGATCCTCAGAAGCCCACTTATTGAAAAGAACCTCTACTGTGCTTCTCCATGCAAAACTTTTTAAAGTATGATTTGTGCTGTTTACACCATGCAACTGTAGTATATTTTTCTGGAAGACACAATCTTTTGTCTAAGTAAAAGTTAATTCAGTATCTTTTTTTAAAAATGCTTCAAGTACAAAGATGGAGTATTTTTCTTGCAGAAGTTGTTAATTTATACCTCAAGCAAATACAGAAAGAGATTTTGTTCTATATGCAGTGAGGAAAAACAGGAAGAAGTCTTCAGAAGTAAGAACCACAATAACATTTGCTGTGCAATAATTGTGAAAGGAATGGTCTAATATGAGCATTATCAAGCACCCAAAGCTGAGGCAATCTTTTGCACAGTATTACAACATAAAAACCTTGATCTCTAAGAAACTACCTGATCTATGTTATGTATATTCTGCCTGTTTTGAAGCTACTGTCGTTAGGTAAGCTACAATCTATTACATTTCACTTACCATTTAAAAGGGAATTTTCCTTTTTTTTGAAACAAATTTTCCTTCTGTAAGGGGTAGCAAACCACGTTTAATTGTCTTTTGACTAGTTGTGTTTTTCTGTGCTAAATAGTGAGTTGATAATCTCCTTGTTTTCTTTCCTGATTTTGAGGCTTAAAAACCGTGCTTTCATTGGGTGTTTTCTTAGATCCTTTTAATTTATAGCTAGACATTAACAGCCAAACACTCTCTGCCACTTAGTAGAACACAGAGCTCAAAAGCTGCAAACCTGAGAATTCTTAATAAAAAATATTGGATGAGTATTTGTTGTCCAAGTATTACTGAACAAGTTTACTTCAGTCATGTTGTAGATGAGTTTGGAAGAAAAGTGTACACCTTAAGCAAAATTACCTGCCAGCGTTCAGTCCTGCCTCATCATAGGGAAGGATATTATTTTACAGGAGGTAAATTTAGTTGCTTCGGATTTATCACTGTCTGTATCTAGTGGGAACTGAAATGGCAGGACTCTGGGGATGGTAGATCTTTATAACCTTGGTCTGTATTTGAATAATAATGGGGAGGGGGGAGGAGAATAAGAAATCCCAGCCCAACACACAGTATAGATTAAACCTCCCTTTTGTATTCTGCATTCCCATGAAGCTGAGCAGAGCATAAGAAGTCAGGGAAAGGGAGGGTAGTAGGATTTGCTCAGAGCAAGGTAAGGTATTTACACCCTGTATTGATCAAATGAATCGTGTTGGGGTGGGTTTTTTGTGTGTCCTCTACAACTTAGTTTTTATCACACTGAACTGCATTCTGTTATTCCTCACTAGAGCTATCTGGTCTGTTGTATGTATCACTGTGACATAATTAGTGAAGTAATTTTGACGTATCTCATACACTGATTTTACTTTTTTAGAGGGGCCATTAAGCCATTTGCCCTGCATTTCTACATTCGGGATATGTTACTGTTTGAAAACCACTGACGGTGGCATTGTTTTATCTCACTGCTGTCAAAGGCAGTGTTATTTCTCTTCCCAATTTTTGAGTCTCTTTCTGGGCTATTCCCTGAAAGTCTTCAGGGCCTTTGTAGAAAGATGTTAGCATGGGGTTCATGACAACCTATGCCCTCCTGTTACACCTCTGAGTGTTGAAGTTGATCGCATGAAAAGGTAGGCACCCACAGCATGCACACCCTGTATCTGTGTTCCTCCTTCACCTTGTCAGCCCAGAAATTGGACAATGCTTCATTACACTGTGAAGAGTTACATGAGAACAACCAAAAAAGGATAGTGTCTTCTGTATGGAGGATGAAGTGTTTCCCTAGAAATCTGGAAATTCTGTGTGTGCGAGGGCACCGAATAACTGCAGAGATAATACTGCTGTGTGTTTATTCATGTGAACGAGGGCAGGCACTATTTTGGCACCTTTGTTAGCCAGCTGCCTGAGTGGAGTCTGGCCAGTGGGATGCAGCCAGCAAGTACAGCTGCCGTGCAGCTCTCGGAGCACAGGTACAGTGTGTAGTGCTGGGCTTCGGGAGTTGTCACTCTGCACCACTCTTCCTTTCCTCCATCCGATGTGACCACATGCAGTTTTCGGCAGCATTAGTAGGGTTGTGTGGTGGCGTTGAAAGGAAGATCTGCAGCTTTGTGAGAAGTTGGCTCGGTCATCCGTCATCATCCCTAAGGAAGAGATAGTGGGAAAGTAAAGTGGCAGTGGTAACAGAGGTCCCCAAATCTGAAGTTCTGATGTACATGTTATACAGACCAAATAAACTGTCCTGTATACCACTGTATGTGCAGTGGTGGAAGGAGATGAGGGATAGGGTTAAGGAGCTGGAAAATCTAGCCCTTTCCTTCAGTGAACATATGCTAATGATAACTAAGTACAAGTGAAGAGGTGAATCATTAATATACAGGGAACTACTTTAGTAGCAATACTACTACTTCAGTTACAAAACTTGTTAAAAGAAGAGAAAATGGTCCATTTCATAATTGGAACATTGAATCAGATCTCTTCTTACTATTCATGTCTTAATCGTCATTAACAATAAGGTGTAGGACCAAACTTTATTTAGTTGTTGTCATGCAACCCATTGGAACTTGTTTTCAGGTAGTTTGAGAGAATGGGATGGTTATAGAAAAGATGGAGAAGTTGATCCATAAACTTTTCATTTAGGTGCTGCTGATGTGCCACTCCAAGTAGCTATTGCCTTCACGTCACACTAGTTCTCTGCAGCCCCGTCGGGGAGGAGGAAAGGAATTAAAGTTTTAAATGTTTGAAAGATTGTATGGTTTTGTTTTTGTTTTTTGTTTGTTTGTTTTTAATTCTGTAAGTGCTTTGTTTCAGAAATGTTTTTGTGAAATTAAATGCAGTGGTATATTCTGTTGTACCCAATTTACTAGATAATCGTTGTTGATTTTATTACATACTGTAACCTAGCCTTGTGTGTTGTTTGTAGTTTAAACGGAAGTATTCAAACGAAATGGCATAAACTCTATGCAGCTTTGTAATAAACGCTGTGTTTGAAGTATGTTCTGTCAGTTTTGTTCTCTTAGCCTCAGCTTCAGTAACCCTTGGGAGTGCACCTGCAAAGCTACCTTTTGCTCAGTTGTGTTTTGACAGCTGGTGTTACCAAGTGTACTCTGTCACCTTGTATCACGAATGTCACTGTTGGAGAGTGAAGCCTCATCAAGATTACGGGTCACAACATAAGGCAAGGACAGAATGCTTCAAAGCTCATCTAACAGAGTTGTTTCTGAGGCCTTGTCTAGCCTAAGGAGTAAATGAAATGCATGAAGGTTGAACGCATTAGCTAACAAACCCCAAGACATTTGAGAAGTCTAGTGTTGACAAGATGGTAGACTTCAAAGAAGTCTATATCTCATCAAAGTTTAATATCTTCTCAACATGTATTTTGTCTTGTGTGTTGAGTATCATGCCTCATTTGTCAACTTGACCAATTCAGCATGTGGTGATGCTTTCTACTCTGTGTGAAAACATTTCTGCTGGTCTTTTTGTGTACTTGTGGTTGTTTTGAAAAAATGCTGTTGAAAAGGTGTATTCGTGCCCCTGACTCCTTAGTCTTTCACTCAGAAGTATCTTCTTTGAGCTGGTCAAGAATGCTTTGTGTAAGACACCAAGCAGTGCTGAATTGGTTGAGGGCGTGCAGTACACAATCATTATTACCTTGCACTGTCAGCTGAGTTTCCAATGTAGGGTTTCAGAGGAAAAGCGGGGGGCACCAACAAAAAGCCCCACAACTCTTCCCCCTCACAACTTGTTCTGAAAGAGCTGTTTATAATTGAATAATCAGGTAGTTTTGCAATGTTACTTCTTGAATTTGTTGGAGTTTCAGCTGCAGGTTGATGATGTGTTGCAGGTAAAACATAGATCATTTCCCTTCCAAATTTATTTCCAATTTTCTCAACAGAATTTGTTAGTTAACTGGAGAGAGCAGACAAAACACATGCTCCTAAAAACCTCAATCTAGAAAAACAAGTATAATTAACATTTGGGCTAAAAATCACAGCAGGAAATTTCTGGGTTTGTTGCCACTGCTTTTTAGTTCATGTTTTTCTTTTTTTAGCAGGTGCATTTGTGCAGTACGGCTGAAGTTGAGAAGTGACATGCAGAGAAGCCTCCTTCTGTTCAGAGCAAAGCCGTGTGCCTTCCCTTCTCTCTGCGCAAGGGTCTGAGGAACAGGGTTTAAAACCTTCAGGCGCCCTGTAACGAGTATGTAGGGTTTCAAAGGTACCTTCACCTTCTAAAATTGCAGCAAAATGTTGTACAGGAGAACAAACCACTGGACTATCAAGTGGAGAGCTCAGGGTTAGGTGGGGAATACTGCTGGTTATGGTTTTGTTCACGCAAACTTTTACAGAACAGAACTTGGCCTGCATCTCAAGACCCGTGGCAGGGTTGTGTGGAGCTGGACACAAAGGAGGGAAAAACTTCAGAAATTGTTGCCAAACAAGTGTTTCTCTCAAGTATGGAAACTTAGTACCCTATCTAGGTCTGTATGGTAACTTGCAACGTTTGCTTTAGCCAGAGGTTTGAGGTCTGGTTACTATTTGAGCTCATCTACTCTCTAGTACAGCCTGCATCACAGGAACCTGCTCAGCTTTACGGCTTTAAAGTAAGCTGCACAGAGTGGAAAAAAAGTACCTGTGTTAAACCTGTTAGAGGTGAGCTAAAGCTGAAGAAGTTATTTTATCCTTTCAAGAGCTCAGGCATCTGTATTGATGGAGTAGTCCCCTCTGCTTCACCTTTTTATGGTAGTCTCCACTAAGGGTGAGTTAGCCATGTCATAAAGGATGTCCTTCAGTTGTAAAGTGATTTCTGTGGGTTTCAGACACAACTAACTGCTTTTGTCAGTACTAGATGGTGCGGAAGCTGTGCCTGGCAGGGCAAGGCGCGGGCCCTCCCTGGTTCCCGGCGGCTGCAGCATGCTGTGTGGGTTCAGAAGCAGTGCTGTTTCCATCCCAGTGCTCTCCCTCCCCTGCAGACTGGCAAGTCAGGTGTCTCTTTCACTTCCTGTTTCACT